TTAAGGCAGTGTTATCCTCAAATGTGATGAGTGTTTGCTGTTTTTTGTGTGCAAGTTGTACAACTGGTTTTCGAAAGATGATCACATTTACATTTTTCACACATCTGGCTGCCTCCCCCCCACCCAGCCCCACCCCTCCCAACCCCCACCCAGCCCCACCCTCCCCACCCAGCCCCTCCCCACCCTCCCCTCCCCACCCAGCCCCTCCCCACCCTCCCCACCTTCCCCTCCCCACCCAGACACAATAATCCCCTGTGGGCTGGTGGAACCAGTGGGTTCCTACCAGTTTAATGACCATCTCTATAGTGCCATGACATGCCAAGCACCCCAATGCAATAAATGTGTCACACCTAGAAACCTGCTCGCTCAAATCGTCTAAACCTGGACAAATCACTTTTTCTCATGAGGGCACCCCTCGAATCAGTATGCATGTTGCCTGTGTTTCCTCCTGCAGGGGTTGGAAGCCACTTCCGCCACAGCGGCCCAAGAAAAGTGCTTGACAGAGAAAGCCTCGTGGCAGGCGCGCAATCTTCTCCAGCCAGTAATCCTCATCATCTCCAGCCATTCATCTTCATCTCCAGCCTAAATCCGTGCTGAATGCACTTGTGTTCGACAGTGAACAAGAAATGTTACAAATCTCAGGGTTTAGGGAAGTGGCACTGATTTTATGTTTTATTTTCTTGAGCACAGGCTTAGCTTGGAATTCATCATATAAGCTCCAACCCAATAAGGTTTTTTAATTAAATGAATGTGACTATGGTGAAGCTAACTTTGGCCACATGGCTTCTTATAGTTATAGCTTTTATAAAGATAGGGAGTATATGGTCCTTTAGGAACACTCATTAGGGACAATGGTAGAAGAGGAAAACAATAAGGAACACGTGCTGCTATGATGCTTAAACTAAGTGGTAAAAATGTATATTAAACTTATTGGTTCTTTCGGTAAAGTCACGTAGAAGGGAAATAATAAAATAATAGAAATAAAACAGAATAAAATATTATTTTATTATTTCCCTTCTACGTGACTTTACCGAAAGAACCAAGAAGATGAATCCCTGCAGTCACGAAAGCTTTAAATCGAAATGTATATTAAAGTTCATGTTTATATGTTAATGAGCTATTTTATGGATGGCATATGTGGTGTCCCTTTATATTTTGTCTAAAGTTCATATTTTGTTATTTCTATCATACATTTTGTGCATTGGTTGCAAAATGTGAAATCATTCTGCGTGATATATAAAAATATGTTTTAGTCTGTTCTACGTTAAAAAGGAACAAGTGTGGGAAAATGTGATAGGTTATTTGGCCTCTTTAATCTTCAGCCTAAGGCTTTTACCGCTCGGGGAGATTACGATGAGTTAACGCCCAGCTTTGATGATTTTATTCTCCTGTTACGAAAGTGAAAATCGGGTAATTGGACAAAACAAAAACTGTCGGACAATGGCTACTTAATTTGGTTTATCGCCGGGCCAGTTTTCATTTTTGCTAAAATGAGGTGCGTTCTTACATTTGCAACCTATACGGATAAGTGTTAATGCTTAAAACAGAGTTGGTTAAACTGTCACGATGTCTATGTTATTAGATCACACAACATTTATTAAGTAATAGCATGTAAAAAAAAACACATTTCAGCTATTTCCAATCCACCAGTGGGAAAGAAGGCCCCCTCCACCCCACGTTTGTCCTAAAAGCTCTTTTTGATCAAACTTCATGCTGGTGCGGTGCGGTTTTGCGACGGCAGAGGAGAGGGCAGGGGGGGTGGCCGGGTTCTGATATCAGTTGCCACTGATGTTGGTCGTAGCCGGGCATTTAATTCGTGGTTGCCGGGTTCTTACTGCAGCGCTCTAACCCACTGCACCACCACTCCACCCGAAAACGCAATCGTAAGAAAGTATTTTAAAATGACGTCGCACAATTAGTTGCTTTGATCACCACACGTGATTCGAAATGTTGCCTACATTGAGCTGAGCAGAGCTTGTAAAGCGACTGCATTACATGATCCCCGTTGTGCCTTCGTCCCCTGCACGTTTTGTACGTGGCATTTCGCGAGCTTGCCACTCATGTACTTGTAAAGTGCGTGTCGAGTGTCTGTAACTTACAACGTTCATTTAAAAAAATAGGCAGAAAATTTATTTTAAGAAAGTACACGATGAAAATGAATATACCCCAAACTAATATGCCATGAACTTCAGGTGCAATAAGAAAGGTATTGGATGTAACAATACAAGGAACGTATATGTAAGTGTGCAAAAGCGATTCAATAAAGACCTTTGTTTTTCTACATTTTTTTTCGAGTAAATCACTGCATTTACGTTATGCAATCAACTATTAAAATGTCAACTAGATGAACCTAAACATTGTTGATTCGGTGGTAAAGATGCGGCCTTGCAAATTCTTGCTCATGCGACTGCTGGCGAGAGCACATCCACTTCGAGGAGCAGCTCAAGAAAGCATCTCTATTGGGTATTTGGCCTACTCTTCCACACTGGCCAAACGTTTTGTACAAAGTGTCAGTGCCCTAATAGTATACCCCACGCTACACGTGCCCGCAGATTGACTGCAGTGTACCCCATGTATGTTGAACTTATTTCTTGCCGTACGTAGCCAACTGTGCTAATCGGAGCTCTTGGGAGGGGGGGGGTGAACTGGTGCCTTGGGCACGGCTGGGTAGCTCTGCTATATTTTAAGCTGTGTTCAGGTTAACTTTGTATCATTTAAAATAAATAATATCTAATATAGATCTGAAGTTTTCGTGACTGCAGGAATACATACTCTTCATGAAGCCATCCAGATATATCAACATAGACATAACTTCAACCAAGAACATGAAAAATGGCAAATATGATCATTGGTTTTTTACCCTTTCTATCTGGCAACAAAACTGACACATTTTTTACAAGGAGTCATGTTTGCATAGACCACAATACCTGCAGTCATAATGCAAACAAAAAACACAACTCTGATAATGTATGCACTGTCCTTGAAGTTGATTGGTCCACACCCGAGACAGCTTTCCTTAGAGCCTAGTCTCACATGGGTTGGACCAGATGACGCCAAAATGCGCACAACTTAAGGACAATGCACTATCAGAGTATGAGAGCTCGGGGTAAGCATTTACACCATTGGAACCTCATTTGCCAGTAAAAAAATATAATTGGTTTTTTACCCTTCTATCAGAGTTATGTTTTAATGTTTTGCATTATGGCTGCAGGTATTGTGGTCTATGCAAACATGACTCCTTGTAAAAAAGGTGTCAGTTTTGTTGCCAGATAGAAGGGTAAACAAACAATTATCATATTTTTTACTGGCAAATGAGGTTCCAATGGTGTAAATGCTTACCCCGAGCTCTCATACTCTGATGGTGCATTGTCCTTGAGTATACATTACCAAAATTCGTAAATATTTGCCTTTAAAAAACTAAATATAACCAACCATAATATGTGGTGAATATTATGGTTGGTTACCATCTATTTTTAAATCCTTTATATTAAGTTCACTTGCTTGCTTGCTTGCGTGCTTGCTTACGACCGTGCAAATCTTTCGGTCGTTTTTTAACCCACTTCCCGTGATCCAATCGAGCTGACATTTTGCACACAGACTCGTTGTGCGTGACAATTAATTTTCGTGAAAAAAGCCACGCATATAAAGGATTTATAGTGAAAAACTTTGTTTTTACGGGTTAATTTTTTTTCACATTCCCTGCATATACAAGGCGTGTAAAGCTTACAGAAAAGTCACGTAGGTTGAAGTTTTGCCATTTTACTTTTATTGTTTTGGTTCGAATACTGTATTTCACAATGAATTGCCTTCGGAAATTGCACGAGCAAGGCACATAATGAATAACGCAAGTGGAGCAAATAAGTAAACATGCAGATATATCAAGAAAAAAACCGTGGGATTTTTTTTTTCTGCTAAACAATTCTGGAAGAAATAATGGCAGCACCTTGGCATGCAAAACTGCATTTATACTTTCTTTAATAAATGGCAGAAAAACAGTGCGAAATATAGTCCAAAAAGGAAATAGCACCATACAAAGGTGGCGTGCACTGCCTGGAGTGTTATAATGAACCACTTCTGACTCACGTTTGCATCGTGCAATTGTTACATTTACAACAGAAAACAAACTGCATCTCTGCTATAATGAACATTTAAATGGTTCACAAAAACATTGCCACACTGCTTTAGAACAGAAACATACACAATGGGCTGACATTTAGGATTATTAATATTTTTTTATTTTGATTGTCGTCCAACGCTCATCTTCATCAGCAGCGTGGAGGGAGGGTCCCGAGACCCCAGTCGAGTCCTGTCGGGGGGATGGCTTCACCACACGAGGCTGGTATGGCACCTCATGAAGCTGGGCCCCATCGCCCGTGTGGAAGGTTGAAGCCAGGAAGGTGAATGGTTGGGAGTTGGCGATTAGGAAGTGGTTCTTGATGTCGGTGACATTTCAGATAATGGCCACTTAAGAGCAAATAAGAAAAAAGGGCCATCGTGCAAAGTGTCACCCGACTAGATATATTTTATTTGGCAGTATGAATTATTAATACAGTATATGTAGGTTTTGGCTTGTGCTTGTGAACGACTGCGAATGCAGTCTCTTAATAATGTTTTAGTGAAATGGTAAATACTCATGATTTCAGCCAGGGCTTAATTTATCCAGGAATTCATCTTCTTGGTTCTTTCGGTAAAGTCACGTAGAATGGAAAGAATAAAATAATAAAAATAAAACAATAAAATAATTCTCACGACGTTTCGGCCACAACGCAAGCAGCCGTCCTCAGGTGGAGAACAGGTCTGTCGAGAAGACAGAGTCTGAAACCATTCAGACTCTGTCTTCTCGAGAACAGGTCTGTCGAGAAGACAGAGTCTGAAACCATTCAGACTCTGTCTTCTCGAGAACAGGTCTGTCGAGAAGACAGAGTCTGAAACCATTCAGACTCTGTCTTCTCGACAGACCTGTTCTCCACCTGAGGACGGCTGCTTGCGTTGTGGCCGAAACGTCGTGAGAATTATTTTATTATGTTTTATTTTTATTATTTTATTATTTCCATTCTACGTGACTTTACCGAAAGAACCAAGAAGATGAATCCCTGCAGTCACGAAAGCTTTACATCGAAAAATTGTCCAGGAATATTTTCCTGGACCTCCAAGCTCACAATCTTCTGTGCCTCGACCCAGTGAAATAGCCTGAGACAGATCCAGTTGATATCAAGCCCTGGTATTAACTCCAAAGCAATGCAAATGTTTTGCCAAACATAATTTTCCAATTCAGCTTTCATGTGATTCAACATACTAAACTTGTTTTTTTATATAAAGGATGATTCAACAATTCTGCTATATATTTGTGTAACTCTGTTGTAGTAATGTCATTTAAAAATGTAAATAATAATTTTAGACATGATGCTGAACACATTAAAATAAGAACAATTGTAACACTTTGGAGATATAACACAAACATGCAGCCCTTGCACTGTTTCAAAAGACAAACACAAAAACTACACGAGTTTTGGTATTTTAAATACATTGTATGTAGAAAAACAAGCTCAACTTTTAACACCAAATGGTCGTCAATACTGTGCACTGCCATGTGCTCAAAATCGTCAAGACACTCAAGGCATTACAACGCTGTATTTCAAGCTTGAGCAGAGAATGGAGCAGCTTCACAGCCGCAGTCCATGTGCCAAGTGAGACAGCTGCAGTTTATAATTCGTGAAGCGACAGGATTAAAAAAAATCATATTTGTTGCACTCCAGCGTCATGAACAAAGGGCCTACAATGCCGTTAACGTTTTGAAATATTACTGTGAAAGAACACATCCAATTGATAATACAAACACATTGGATTTTAATACTATATCATATAAATCAGGTGCACCTTTAAACGGATAATTCGCCAGATAATGGTTGCAATACCTTGCTTAATGTTCCACGCATATGAGTTATTCCAAGGCTTACGCTTAGTACAGCATTGACTGTAAACCTTAGTCGTATGACATGACACATTTGTCCTGTGGTTCCATTACAATTTTGTAAGGCACGAGGTATCAAGAGGTATGATTCACCAATTGAGGAGTGCTCAATTTTGCTCCTCAATTTATATGCTGTTGAGATAACCCACGCTCAATTCATGGGAAGACGATAATCCACTTCTAGTTTAGTGAATGATCTCCCCAAAGGTGTTGGAAACCTAAATCACCTTTTTCATCCATTTAACCTGCCGACACTCAACAAAAGCCTCGCGTTTAAGTAATTCAATTGTTTGGGTCTTCAAGTTTTTCCGAGGGCACTGCTCAGTTGTCACGTTGAGAGTTACAACTCAATTCTTTTCTAATCATTGTGGTGAACGTAACAGCCACCAGTGGCTGTAAGGGTCACGTGAACCCATTGCAAAACATGAGTCCTACAACATTCGTACGCGTGCAATTCGACACACATCTTGAGCTTAAGAATCAATATTAAATGATGAATTGTTGCATCATTCAATCTCGATGCGCTATGTCACTGTAAACATGCTGACTTGTTCCTGCACTTTACCTTCGGCTGTGGCGTAGCGTCATCTAATTTTTCTGTCGCTCCATATTGGAATGGAACGAAGACAGCACCATATTTTAGTAACTCATTGTGGAACTGGACTATCCCTTGGTGCTTTGACCAGTACAGCACCGATTAAAACAAGGCCTGTGTCTTCAGGAATGTACAACTCTCACCTTGCAAAGGGTCGTGGTAGGCTGCGGGCCAGTCACACGCGAGTATATTTGTGATGTCAGGATTTTTTTTGTCTATGACTCAAGTGTGCCGTAAATGTTCCATCGCAACACATTTAATTGATTTATTTTGAAAATCCCTTGCGATCAAAAGTACCTGTACGTCATTGACTTTTTACCTTACGCTGGTCCATAATTTTTCATGTCTTCAAATTGTAGTGTTAAACATAAAAAACATCGTAAAATACCGATTAAAGACAAAAAATAAAATCTGCACCACTTCATTGGGTAGTGGAAATAAGGTGGATTTAAACCCATCTGAGATTACAAGTTTTAAATACTAGTGTTTTCATTATCATAGTAAGGTTTTATTTACTATGTCATTGCCTGAATACTGTTGGAATGGCCAAGTTCTTCAGTAAATTGGATAATCCCTTAAAGTCTCATGCCCTTATAGTCTCATGTGAAAATCCCAAGAGTATGCATTGTGTGTCCCTGGGCCTGTGAGGCATCCATCAAGACTGGCTCTTTAAAATGAGCTAATGAGGTTGTTCAACTGGCCCGGGTAATTCTCAAAGATCTTCTCCACTTCGTCGCTGAAAGCGTCACCTGCCGACAGACATTTCACACCATCATCACAATGACCTTCATCACAATCATCATGACCCAAATAAAGCTTTGTTTACCATCACCATTATGCGTACCTGTGTGGTTATAACTGCTTTGGTATGCTGGCAAATGTCCTATTTCCACAGGCACATGCAGGCTGAGCCATCACCGGGCCCTCGTGGTACAGGTGGTTTTCCACTGGCTACTTTCCATGCCGAGTCAGAACCAAACCGTGACACGCTAACCTCACAAGATAACCGCATCTGGCTTGGGGCCAAGCAGGGCCAGGGGAGGGGCTAATGACACGTCGATTTGCATGTCATGTAATTCATATGAGGACATAGCCCTGTACGTCACTGCGTCGTACACGACTCTCGTTTATAGCGTGTGACGTCATTGGCACGGCTTGGGCTCTACAGTAGAAAAAACAAACCTGCCACCTCTGGAGCCCCATCTGGCTGCTTTGGTATGGCTCGGTTGCACAGTAGAAACGAGGTATACTGTAAGAGCCTTGATATCTGAATAATTATCATAGAATTAGCGCTCTGGCTTTATTTTCTATGGTGTTTTTCACTGTTTTTTTTTATAACCAAATGTGTGACGCGTTGTAAAACCACGTTTTTCAGTAGCCCGGAATCTGCAGTAACATCGATCGCGATTTCATGATGTCTATGCCTACTTAGCATATGTGGCTTGCTTGTCTAGTGTTCTTAAGTTGTACCAGTAATTTTTCCAGCTGGGTTTTTTGTTGTGCTTAAATTTAGAAACAATAACATGTACATCAAGACAGTTTGACGTCATTTTGATTGTAAGAATCTGCTGCAAGTGAGGTAATGCATTTAATATATTACGACAAACTTGTTTAATGTTAAATTCGGCTTGTGTGCATACGCACACAAACCGAATTTGATCTCGTGCTATGCTCACTCAGGCTTGCAAGAACGGGTTCTCAGTTGTACTTGTGACAATGATGTATCTTTATTATAATAATTATCACAATCATTAAAATCACCATCATCTTTTGGCATTCTCTGGCCTGACACTGGTGTGACTAGGCCCTAAAGAAGGCCATCTCTGGTGTAGACCAAGGAGTCTCAAAGACATTGTATAATTATCAGAGCATGTTTGTTTGCATGTTCACCACAAGTACGTGTGGTTAATGCAGACTTGATTAATTGCAAAGGGTATCTATTTGGTGTTCGAACATCTTAACACCTTTTTTTTCTGATTTAAAGCTTTCGTGACTGCAGGGATTCATCTTCTTGGCTCTTTCGGTAAAGTCACGTAGAAGGGAAATAAAAAATAATGAAATAAAACATAATAAAATAAAAAAATAAAATAAAATAATAAAATCATATTAAACCTTCTTTTATTATTTCCCTTCTACGTGACTTTATCGAAAGAACCAAGAAGATTAATCTTAACACCTGTTTTATTGCCAGAAAGGGTAAAATCTATTCTTATATTTACACGTTGATACTGCCAAAAAAGGTCCCATGATATTGTTTGCTTTAAAGATGTTTTTTGCCATGGCTGGACGTATTAATTCATTCTTTTAAATCTCAGTAAACAGCCATCGGACGTCAGCGTACTGTAATCGGTGTCGTAAGTATGACCAAAGTGAAAATGCGTGGGGACCCACCGACATGACAGTTGTACATCCATATCCTGTGCCCGTCATACTTGCAGTTGCACTTCATTGCATTGTTGGTGAAGTCCGTCTCGGCCACTTCGTAGTTGGGGTTAAGAACAACCTGCCAACAAGAAGAAATACAGGGTGCTTCACAAAATTGTTAACACTTACATGCGACTATCGTTTTCAATGTGAAAAGAAGGGATAATTCACTGTAACATGACAACAAATGTCATGTTAATAGCTTCAAAAAGTCATAGAGTCTCCACTTGTTCGTCATCATTGTCAACACGTGGCCTGGAATCTTCTCCAGGTGGTCTCCAGAGCCCGGAGGCACATTTCTTGTGGTTTTGTTGCAAATTCTCAGAAGTGTTGAACATTTTTGAAGCACCCTGAACAACGCACAAAGCCCCTTTTAGAAAGAAGACCCGGCAAAACCCTCAACCGTTTCTTACATAAATTGGTTCTCGCCCTCTACGGCATCGGGCAGTCACGTAACTTACAAAACACATTCCTGCGGAGGGAGCTGGTAGGAACGTTGGGTTGCTTGGTCAATGGCCAGGGTCAACGGCGGCGTGGTGTATTCCGCAAATATGCCCGACTGTGAGTGCGGGCATAAGTCGGCGTGAGTAGGTTGAGTTTCATAAGGGCACCACGGGGTGACCAGCCCCTCCCCACCCAGCCCCACCCCTCCCACCCCCCACCCAGCCTCACCCTCCTCACCCAGCCCCTCCCCACCCTCCCCTCCCCACCCAGCCCCACCCTCCCCTCTCCACCCAGCCCCACCCCTGCCATTTTTGGATGCACGACGGACGGACACAATAATCCCCTGGTGGAACCAGGTGGTTCCTACCAGTATAATGATGGCTGTTCCCTGAATACGGCACACACGCTGTTGCACCAGCTATCACGTCAGTAGCGTAACGAGCGTGGGAGCAGGGGGTGCCAAAGCTCCAAGTTGGGGCCCCCTTGACAGCCACCACGAGATATGTGCTCAGCAACAGTGTGGGAGAAGAAAAGAAAACGTATGTCACGATGTGATTAGGCAAGAGGAGCCGCCGGTATATAATAGCCGTGGTGCCACCGTGCGAGGCAAATCATAACACTGTGGGCTCATCTGACCGACTGCCGCACCCCCCTGAGCTAACAATTCACAGTCGTTACGCCACTCTATCACGCGCTTGGCACAAAAAAGCAGAATTAACAGGTTTTCAAAAGGGGTTGCGCAATAAAGAGAGGGCCTCTGAATGCCAACGCCTTTGGTTGTGACAATTCTTTGCACGCTGCTGCCAGTCCACCTAGTGGGCGAAAATGAGATGTCTCCGTTTCTTTCTTTAACGCGACAACTTAAAAGAAAAACACGGCTCGGCACACTACGGCCAAAATTTGGCATACAAACACAAATTTGGAATGCAAACACAAATCGCCACGGTACAATGGCACGCATCTGACACAAATACGAAAATAAAACGTAGCTCAAAGCGGGCACAAGGACTGGGGTTTTAGAAGTTTGGTTTAAAAAAAACCCAACTAAAGCCCATTCCTACAGCGAAGATAAACATTCATCATCATCAGCCTTGATCGATCCACTGCTGGGCGAAGTCATCCCCAAGCCATCACCATCTATCAAGATTTGTTTACAACACTCCATCGAGCTCCTCCACACGGGCCGATCTCATCGCTCCACCTCTGCGATGGACGTCCTCCCAGGCACGGTCCCTCCATTATACTGGTCATCTGTGGAAAGAGCTTCATAGCTGATCGGATTTCTCCAGGATGAATACAGATTCTGATCGTGAGCATTTGGCTGCCGCTCCATTGCCTATCAACCAAATGCCATTATCCTTTATGGCGACGTGTCCTGCCCAGAGTTTAGTAACTTTTTTTTTTATGGCCGAAAATGTGATGTCTCCGACTTGCATATGTTCTCCTGGCCATGTCCTCCTCTTTCCGTCTCTCGGGGTAGTTCTAAGCATGGACGGTACAATGCTCTGAGATTTTTCGATTTAAAGCTTTCGTGACTGCAGGGATTCATCTTCTTGGTTCTTTCGGTAAAGTCACGTAGAAGGAAAATAATAACATAATTTAAAAAACATAATAAAATAATTCTCACGACGTTTCGGCCACAACGCAAGCAGCCGTCCTCAGGTGAAACCAGGTCTGTCGAGGCGACAGCGTCTGAATGAAACAGCACACGTGCTTGGAGCATATATATAAGCTGGGTTGGAAGGGGGGGGGGGAAAGGGCGCCTTGACAAAATAATTTGCATATCAAGAGGAATTTAGCATATTTATGGCAAATGCAGGTATGTGATTAGTACTACTTATGTCCGTGCATTATGCAGGATTAGCAGCATCAAAGGGAGGGGATATGGGAAATGCAGGTATGTGATTAGTACTACTTATGCCCGTGCATTATGCAGGATTAGCAGCATCCAAGGGAGGGGATATGGGAAATACAGGTATGTGATTAGTACTACTTATGCCCGTGCATTATTCACTGTCGCTCGGTGCACGGGAATTGTGCGCACGACGACTCGTGCGTGTGCTTTGCCACAATAGAGGTTTGGCAATTGAAGGGTTTAATATCCGCAACTGGCCCAGATGCACATGTCACTCCATCAGCCTGCCAACAGAGTGCCTCCTCTGCGTAACACTCCGGGCATCCGCGTGGCAGCAGAAATAAAGGTGGGTTGACTTTAGACTGTGATGTCTTTTGGGAATGGTGTCATACACACATCACCATGGCAACTCCACGGCGAATCCTCAGACCGAAATGCTACCGCAGTCAACATCTTGCATGTGATTTCGATTTAAAGCTTCTTCTTGGTTCTTTCGGTAAAGTCACGTAGAATGGAAATAATAAAATAATAAAAATAAAAAATAATAAAATAATTCTCAGAAATAAAATAATAATTCTGAGAATGATTTTATTATGTTAAATTTTTATTATTTTATTATTTCCATTCTACGTGACTTTACCGAAAGAACCAAGAAGATCTTGCATGTGAGTCGCACGTACGTTCATATGCGATGCATTCAAATATGAATCACTTTCATAATTAAAACACGATTTTTTTAAAGTTAAAAAGCCAATTTGAAGGCCAGACGTGATACTCCCCATAGATTTCTTCTGCTGTACTCGATCCGGAATCAAATAACACTGCAATGTTTTCCCCTCACTTGAATCTCTTTAATCGCTTGTAAATCTACGTGTTTGGTTGTTTTGTTGGAGTGACACTGAAGCGTTGGTATAAGTCAATTGTCATCAGTTATCTGATACACAACTTACCTATACAATGGTGACTGTGCCCAGTTTTATTACTGTCACGGTGTTCGCACCAAGAGGGCTGGCTACAACGTGCGGGGAGGCCTTCATCTAGCAGTGGATAGACCACAGCTGCTGCTGCTGCTGATGGTGGTGGTGGTGTGGAAACAATCTATAAATCACGAGCCATAGTATTCAACATTTGTTCGGACGGCGCAACAGCGCCTGATTGTCAGTACCGTGCTGAATGTCAAAGTGGAACGGAAATCGATCATTTTCGAGTGAGCGGCCAGTTTTGATTTCACACCAATTGTGTGGCACTGGCAGCGCCGAGTTTTAAATTACACGTGGCACACATTTATACGGCATATGGACAACAGGGTAGATCAATGAACCTTATTTAAACCAAGTGAGTTTCCATTGAGATATCAACGTCTGATTTACAAAATGAGGCCTGGGAGGAATTCATGTATGTATGCATGTACCTGGTGCAAAGGTACACATTTTGCATGAAAGGGAAAAACAACACCCATGCAAAAAAGATATACACACTCATGTAGGCATTGGGAGCATATGTGCATGTCCATGTAGGTTATAGGCGTAGGTGGGGAATGGTAGTTTAGTGGTTAGCGCACTGCACTACGAACCCAGCGACACGGGTTAGAGTCCCCCTCACGGCCAACATCGGTGGCGAATATCTGGACTGGTCCCGGTCCTCCCCTAGGTCGACTCAGCATCGAATGGTTTATAAACACATCAGCGTTCGGGGAGACAAAGGGGGACAGACGCGGCGCTCGCCACTCACCTCCTCGTCGTGCCGTGCTGGGCCGAATCGGTGCTCGTTAGCAGCACCTGCCCCAAGAGTCTGTTCAACGTATTCTTTGGGTCTTTCGGTAAAGTCGTCACGTAGATCGGTTCAAAGAAATAACAAAACCCTACGACGTTTCGATCACAACACAAGCGATTGTCATCCTGATGACGATCGCTTGTGGTGTGATCGATAACGATCGCTTGTGGTGTGATCGAAACGTCGTAGGGTTTGTTATTTCTTTGAACCGATCTACGTGACGACTTACGACGTTTTGATCACACCACAAGCGATCGTCATCCTGATGACGATCGCTTGTGGTGTGATAGAAACGTCGTAGTTTTTGTTACTTCTTTGTTATTTTCTTTGAACCTATCTAGGTGATTTTACCGAAAGACCCAAATAATATGAATTTCTACAGTCACGAAAGCTTTAAGTCAAGATGTAGTCTGTTAAAAGGCTTATGGGGATGTGGGGGGGGGGGGGTATGCAGTGTTTTTTTTTGGTTTGTATGTGTCGGATGAAAACACAAGTGCGGCAGTGCACGTGCAGGTGCTGGGTGCGTACACGGATGTTGCCCAGGCTGCGCGTGTACGGGGCAGGATGTTCCCTCTCGGGGTGCGTGTACCTGGAAAATGTAGTTTCCAGGCTTGAGGTCGGTGACATCCACCCACTGACAGTCGATGTCGTGCCGGTAGGTGTCGTGGCAGTTCACCGTGATGCCTTGCTCACCAAAGTTGGCACACTCGTACACCTTCTGTCCTCCTGCAGGTGGCGGCAGTCACACGCAATCGCTCAAGGCGTTGGGGTCTATTTTTGGTTGCGCGGTCTTTCATGGAGGGCGACAATTCATCCTGAGAGCGCTTTTAATTGCACGGCAGTTTGAGCTGCACCACTCTGAGCTTGGTTCCACGCCTCTGAGTTGCGGCCACTACGTCCGCAAATTTGCGCGCGTTATAAATTTAACTATTATTATTAAAATGTTCGCACCGTATTCCTTTACACGCGTTTCGTGTTTCTTTTCTTCTGCTCTCAAACCGAGACGCTGCGGCAGTGCACAAGAGAAGCTTTGGATATAATCACGGCCGAGATGGTGGTAAATATCTCGAGCTCTAAAATCTCGAACTCGTGTCCGTCGATGATTGCCATTGTGGACATGCGGATGTTTCTAAAGAGATCAAATGCGTGTGATAAGATCTTCACGCAGCCGCCTACGTAGTTTTGTTGATCGGGCTCAAACCACTAACTAAATTAGACAAATTATTTGGTGATAATGCATTGGCAATGATGCAAACACCACAAGTAACATTGCCCAAAGTGTCGCCTTTGGTATAGTTTTTCCCTTTAAGGAATGAGTGCAGGTTTTATTTGGATATGACAACATAATAAATGTACACCCTGCATTATGACAGCTTGGGTACTTTGATAATTATTTTAAATTATGATCATTTCGTCATGATCAACGCAGACGCATGTATCGTTTATAGTGCGACGTGGTAAGGTTTGGTTATGGAACAAAAAATAGAAATGTTTTTTTTGATTGAGCTTTGAGGTATCAACTTCTTTACAGTACGTCGCTCATGCAAATGGCGTCAAAGTAAAGTGGTGCCAACATTTTTTTTGTATATTGAATGAGTACAAAACTAAATACATTTAAATTGACTCAATAAACCAAAAAATATACAATGATATTAATAGAATAAAACCGCTTTTAAAATTAAAAAAATTCAGCAGCAATGCATAAACCATCTGTTCGAGTGGAAAGAGGCTTTGAGAAGGTCGCATTTAAACATCCATATTAATTCGAGGCATGACCCATTTAAGCAAAACAACATGAATACAAAACAACGTAACTAATTTTGTCCACACACTCAGATACTAGATATCGTATTCACGTTCAACCGAGCGGGGAGGCTGGGATCCGTGCAGTGTAGGGTGGTGCACCTTCTTCTTGGTTCTTTCGGTAAAGTCACGTAGAATGGAAATAATAAAATTAAATAAATAAAACATAATAAAATAATTCTCACTACGTTTCGGCCACAATGCAAGCAGACGTCCTCAGGTGGAGAACAGGTCTGTCGAGGAGACAGAGTCTGAATGACAAGCCCCAGGCTTGGAGCGACTATTTAAGCTGGGATGGAGGGGCGAAGAGCGCCTTGACAAAATAATTTGAATATCAAGAGAAATTTAGCATATTTATGTGAAATGCAGATATGCGATTAGTACTACTTGTGAAATGCGTAGGAGGTTTGGCGAGGGGTTTAAAGTCATTATGCCCGTGCATTATGCAGGATTAGCAGCATCAAAGGGAGGGGATAGGGGTAGCGTTAATAAAGGTGCACCTTCTTGGCAGTCGGTATCCTCCAAACAGAAGCTGGCCTTGTGCCCCTCTGCAACCTTGGTGCCGTTTGTACTCAGAATGTCATAGTGGGTGAACACCTCCATGCTGTGGTAGTGGCTGCGAGAAGGCGACAACACAACCCGTTACAAGTCAGTCAGTGGGAGGGGTTTTTTTTTATTTAAAGCTTTCGTGACTGCAGGAATTCATCTTTTTGGTTCTTTCGGTAAAGTCACGTAGAAGGGAAGTAATAAAATAATAAAAATAAAACAGAATTTTATTATGAAGATGGGGAGGGGGGGTTGTTGAGAGAATGCACCAGACAATTACGCAGCGGCATCGCCACAAACTCATCATCCGGTGGTCGGCCCTGGGTTTTTATTCGGTATGGAGCTGTGTTGCTGCGGGCAGCAGAATCAGGATTGCACGGAAGGGGTATACTTTATCACGGGTTTGTTCTAGAAGTGGTGTGAGGCTGCGCTTTTCTACAGATAGTAAGTTAGTCGTGTCGTTTGGATGGGACTTGACACTCGAACTAAAGTTTGAACCCTCACCTTCAGCACATTGAATTACGTGAAGGCTTCTGCTTGGAAAGGAGCGCAGCACAGCAGACATACAGAAGAGACATGTGACGTAGCTATGGAAGATGTGGAGAGCCATATATCGGCAACGGACGTAGAGGAAAAGTGCAGGGGGGAAAGGACATGGAGACAGTGGAGTCGAGTTCGATATTGGGAGCGAGAAAAATGACAAAGACAATCACGCCTTTTGGCGTCCTCTGGTCTAACACTGTTTTGAGACGAGGCTCAAAAGAAAGCTGTCTCTGGTGTGGACCAATCAGAGTACCGTGTTTGTTTGCATTCTGACCACAAGAAGTGTGGTTAATGCAGACATGATTCCTTGTAAAAGGTCTCAGTTTTGTGTTTTAACATCTTAACGCAGCTGTTTTGTTGCCAGAAAAAAAGGGGGAAACCTATTCTCACACCTTCATATTAACAGACAAAAAGCCTCTTTTGACACGGGAGACCTGGCGACCGAGCAGAGGGCCGCCGCAGCGATGCAGGAGAGCCAGCGGCGGTAGTGGCTGCGGCTCACCGATGGCACTCGTGCCACACCCACGAGTGCCGTCCAGCCTTGGGGCGGAAGTCCGCACGGCCCAGGTTGTGGATCTCCGACGAGAAACGGAGCAGGCGGCGCTGCCCGTACGGCCAGTGCATGTTGCGTGCGCTCTGGGCCAGGCAGTCCTCCTCGGCGGCGCAGTAGAGCAGGTGCAGCGGCCGGTCCTCCAGGTACGAGGACACCTGCACCAGTGGCGCGTTCAGCACCAAGTCCGGCGCCACTGCACGCACGGGCGACACGCACAATGAAGACGATGATGACAATGAAGACACTGATTACGATGATGATGATAATGATGACGATGATGATGACGATGATGACGATGATGACAATGAAGACGATGATTACGATGATAATGATGACGATGATGATGACGATAATGACAATGAAGACAATGATTACGATGATAATGATGACAATGATGATGACGACAATGATGATGACGATGATGACAATGAAGACGATGATGACATTGATGACGGTGACGACGAAGAATGTGTGAATGTCCCTCATTCTCCTCGCACAAGACAACGCGAGAGTTGACATCGTCGAGTGCGCACCATTGCATAGAGGCGGAGTAACGACCCCTAATAGAGCAACCGCGTGCGCTTCACTCGCAAAAGTGTCGGCGGAGAGAGAGAGAGAGGGAGCCCGCCGGGTGTGAGCGTGCGAGCCATTCATTTACTCTCTGAGCAGATGATGCCGGCCGCGTTCCTGGCGCCGCCCTTCCGGCAGGCGATGTCGGCGCCGTGGTGGCGGCAGTGCTGCAGTGACATCTCGGAGCCCACGCATTTCACTCCGCTCATCAGCACCTGGTCGTGGAGGGGGCTGCCCTCAAAGTACCACGTCTCCTACAGCGGGGGTGAAGGGAAATGAGAAGCGGGGTTGAGGGGGGGGGATGTGCAAGGCGATTCATTAATATTGACCACGCGGCGGTTTTGGGATGGGTGCAGAGTGTCGGCGTGAATTGTGTGGGGGGGGGGGGGTGTAATTTAATGTGGCGTGAAAGTTACATTCGCTGCAGAATTCAGTCGCTGAAAGGAAGAGGCGTTGCAAAACAAAGTGGAGGTTTTTTTTATCGTCTAAGACACCGAATTATTACTTTGCAATACAAAGCCGGAATCATTGAATGAAATGGTGTCATTTGAACTTCAGCAGGATTATATAATGTAGCTTATGAAGCAACATAATAACTGCTCTGTCACCAAGTGCATTAGTAGCCTTGGAGACTGAAACCAGCATTGGCTGATTGAGTATCTAATCACAGTTGAATAACGAGTGGCAATACAAAACGATGTCCCCCTGAATTCTATAAAAGTCTGTTCAGCATCATAATTGTTGGAAACATTGTCGAACTAGTGTCTGGATCACAATAGCCACAAGTGCTACACAGTGCCGTGCACACATGGTACGACTGATTCAATGTGAATGTTATGAAAGCTTGCACGTGTTGTGCATTGGTCAACAAAGTCGAATTCAGACGATGTCATCCATGATGCATGATTATCCTCAGCCATTGTCTACCCTCTGTTGGATGAAGGCCTCTCCACGTTGTCACCATCCCTCACAGTAACGCGATCCCACAATCCATCTCACTCCTGCACACGAACTGATCTCATCTCATCGTTCCGTCAGTGTAGAGGTCACCCTCGTGGGTGCATTCTCTCCTCTGGCTGGGGTTCCATCACCGGTGCCATCCATCAAGCATTATCGCTTCTGGCAATGTGTCCTTCCCAAAGACACTTATTTTTTTAAAAAGAACAATGTGATGCCTCCGATTCGTGTTTGTTTTCCGGTGAATGTCAGTCGGTTGTGATTCACGACGCGAATTTGTCCACGCTTCCCTAGCAAACACATTTCAGATGTTGTTCCATTTTCTTTATCAGAGTCGATGTTTCTGATCTAAATGTTACCGCTGGAAGTATGCACAACGATTGTAAACGTTATTAGGCACCCTGGTGTGTTGCTTTTCATTATCAAATCCATTTCCCAAAAGGACTTATTTGCTTGATTTCATTATTTTGAATCATATCTATTTGCCATAACTGTTTGTAGTTATATATCCGATTCTGCCATATTCCACTTTTGTCCCTCCAACAATAATTAACATTTTATTTAGCATGATAAACATTGCAAATGCTGTACTGCATTGATTGTATAGATTAGCATAGAAATAATAGGGCCTGGAACATCACTTGTAAAATATAATATATGTCCTCTTAAGACATATTATATATAATAATGACATTATATATCATAATAGGAACGTATTATATGTCCTCTTCAGACATATTATACAAGCATGATCAAATATAAAATAATACATTTTATTTTGCACCGCACGTGCGCGTTTGAAAACATAAAATATAACGTGGCTTTGCGGTCAATGCTGCTGGCTTCCGTTAAATTCTCCAATGATATTCTCAGATCTTGGCTTCATAGACACATGAACAACTGTATACCAGCAGTGCGTTCACTATCAGAGCTCCAAACCATTGTTTATCGGTGCTCAAAGAACCTTCAATCATTCAGAGCCCTAAAAATGAGTCCGATGGTTTAAACTCCGCTCCACACATGACTTGTGTTAGTGCTCGAAAAGCCTTTGAAGTCATTATCAATTCCATAGCACACATTTATTTACGTTAGAACTGCTCTCTGGAGTAGATTTTTTCCGTTTGTTTAGTTTCATAGGCCGTACATATTTCATATATTTCATATGTACGGCCTACAGTCATACAGGCCACTCACGCTAATCGACAGCAACTGGTGTTCCAAAAGGTTCTTTAAAACTATAATATAATTTAAAAAAAACCTAATTGAATTAACATGTCCTGTAACTGCAATCGACCATTTGTACAACATTGTACCCATTGCACCACAACGATCTGCAATGAAAGAGACAATGTACGCGTGCGGCATATTTCATACAGCACGGCTGTCAATCCCCTACGCCACAAGGCTTATACACCTCATCAGGCGAGCGCAGATAAAAAGACACAGCGAGCCGAGCAAATATAGTGAACAAGTAATTCTAGATTAGAAGCTTTCGTGACTGCAAGGATTCATATTCTTAGGTTTTTTCGGTAAAGTCACGTAGGTGATAAAAATTAAAATTAATAAAAGTAAAATAAAAAATAAAATTAATAAAAGTAAAATAACAAATATTTTACTTTTATTAATTTAAAATTTTCACCTACATCACTTTACGGAAAAAAACCTAACAATATGGACAAGTAATTCCCAATGGAGGCTTGCATTAAGGAGGTCATCCTCTCCCCTCCATAGAGAGGAGGGGTGGAAAAGGAGGGGGGGAGGTGGAAGCTGATGAGCAGTAGGGCTGAGGTGATGGCGCAGATGTTGAGCTGGAATAAATCATCGTCTTGTACATGCAGGACTTGTTGCCGTGGGGTTAAGCCATGAATAACACGTGAACGTCGTGGGTTTGAATCGTTCCCTTTTTTACCCACCCCCTCGGGTGTCGTGACTTCCCACCGAGCGATGGAATGTTTCAGTTTTCACATTTTCAAATCTGACAATGAAAACAACCTGTATTTTCAGAACAATCATAACCTGTCGCTGTTAGCATGAAGTCATTTGGCATTACGTCGACCCTACGGCCCACAGGTATTTTTCGTTGGCGGATCGGCTCGAGTCAATTGCTCGCTGCTTCCATCTCGCCGCGTTCCCTGGGCACGTCCCTTCCTCGCGGGGGGGGGGAGGGGGGGGTGGGCTTACCTGCAAGTACATGCTGGCATAGCCCAGGCCGAGCTGGCGGCAAGCTACGGACGCTTCGAGCATCCCCCAGCCCTCGCTGCACACCGTGCCCCAGTGAAGCGTCCCGTTGGGGCCCCCGTCCATGAGCACCTCCACGCGGCCCTCAAAGCGGTTGCGGCCGCCCTGCAGGCGGATCTGGTGGCGCGTTCGACATCGCGCGAGCGGTGCGAGAGCGTGCCGTTAGAAGCTGCCGCCGTTCCCAGGGGCGACACCGACGCATTGTGGGATAGCGACACTAAACGCCCGGTGAAAACTCCGCGAGCCGACGTGAAATTCTGTACGAATGCAGTGTTTTTTTTTTTTAAGATTGAAAACTAACGTTTTGTTTAAGTCGGGTAAATGGCGTGTTAATTTTAGAAGGTAAAACTCTTTCACAAATAATGAGGAAAATATTTGAAGGAAGCTAGTTCTGGTCTTAGTAAATATCGTCTGCTCCTTTCGGGCAGTGTCCCAAGTGCTCCGTTGAAACGTTATTCCTGATTGCACCGATGCATACATCTTGAGGATTTCTGATATATCAACAGCTGATATATATTTCGACATTTCTACTCCCAAAAGCCGAAGGGTTCACATTCACCCGTGAACTGTGGAACCTTTTTGTGCACTGCTTGGATTCTGACACGAATAGAGCAGTCGGACCGGTGCCCTGTCCACACACGGCTGCTGTTCATTTGCGAGCATTTACCCGCTTTTCGAAGCCCATGGCGGGCACGTGACAGCGAACCGCCGCGTCCTCGTGGTGCCCGCAGCCGTGGTCCGAGGCGTTCCCATGCGGGCAGTCGAAGATGCTCCTCTCCTGTCCCGTGCACTGCACCATCGCCATGTGGATGGGACCCATGGCTGCGATGGAGACATCGGCAACATCGATCGCGGCAACTCACAACAGAGTTGAAGTTGATAAATGTATTTTTACCCTTCTATCTGGCAAAAAAACTGACACCTTTTTTACGAGGAGTCATATTTGCATAGACCACAATACCTGCAGTCATAATGCAAAAAAAAACCACAACTCTGATAATGTATGCACTGTCCTTGAAGTTGATTGGTCCACACCAGTCATCTGGTTCAACCCATGTGAGACAAGGCTCTAAGGAAAGCTGTCTCAGGTGTGGACCAATCAACTTCAAGGACAGTGCATACATTATCAGAGTTATGTTTTTTGTTTGCATTATGACTGCAGGTATTGTGGTCTACGCAAACATGACTCCTCGTAAAAAAGGTGTCAGTTTTGTTGCCAGAAAAAAGGGTAGAAAAACAATTATCATATTTTTTACTGCCAAATGAGGTACCAATGGTGAGAGTTGAAGTTAGCGCATATTAGCGGCACACAACGGCGCAGGCGGCCGACACATTGGCGATACACGATCCAGATGTGGCGGACGTTCAAGCTCAAGCAGCGGCGAGTGGCTCTACGTGTCGGGAATCACGGACGCCAGCAGAGTGCGTGTGCTGCACAGCGTGGCACGTGGCACGCTCATGTGCTCTGTACAAGTTTCTGTGACGTGCACGTGCATGGAGACAAACAAAGACAAAAGACAAAGATCCCCCCATACAGCTTGTAAACAGACTCTGTCTTCTCGACAGACCTGTTCTTCACCTGAGGACGGCTGCTTGCGTTGTGGCCGAAACGTCGTGAGAATTATTTTATTATGTTTTATTTTTATTATTTTATTATTTCCATTCTACGTGACTTTACCGAAAGAACCAATAAGACGAATCCCTGCAGTCACGAAAGCTTTAAATCGAAATGTAAACAGACTGTTAAGGCAAATGCTGTTAGCGAGTAGCACCTATGCAGGCTGGCACGGCACACGAGGGGGGTGGGTGGCCAGCACCACGCCCGGCCGCCTTTGTCTCCCCAGTGGCGATGTTTACACAGGGGAGACCCAGGACCAGTTCAGATAATCATCACTGGTGTTGGCCATGAGAGGGAATTGACCTCGTAGTGCAGTGCGCTAACCGCTACACTACCATTACCCACATGGAGATGCACACCAAGGGCACGCGCGCGCACAAACACGTGCACACCACTCATTTAACACAGATGTTGCATGTGCAAACTTGAGAGGATGACTTGAATAGGAATAGTTTTTTCCACTCCCTGCTGGTCTGGTCAAAGCTGACACTTGTGTTTGACCTACTGTTTAGGGTTAAATCGTAAAATGCAATGAGTAAGGGTTTTAAAGATATGTTACATAACGCTTGCCAGAACTATGAACCATGTAATATGTACTTGGCAGCCCCACGCTGTTGAAATACTTTTAGCACAATTCCATTGGAAATTTGTAAAAAAAAAAAGATTTTTTTTTATAACTTCTCAATGCACTACATGTCTAACATAAACTATCTCGTTTACATTGTGTAATTCTTACTGCCTCATATAGATTGTCTTGGTTGTATTGTTTATACCCATTGTAGTGGTCACATCTGTGTTGTCTCATTAGCCCCGTCCGTTTACTTTGATCCGTTTCATTTGTTCCATTGGCCGAAATTATCATTCGCACCGCATTTGCACAAAACCATCATTGATTCTTACGCATACAATTCGATGCACGTATCCTCAGCACAACAATTGACTTTAGTTGACGATTCCACGCATCTTAGTAAGTTCACGGGCCGCTCGTGTTCTCTCCCACCTTGACCCATGCGGCCACTCATGAGGGCCTCTTTGGCACTGCCGAAGCCGAGCTCGCGACACACGACGCTCGCCGACACGACGTTCCAGCGCTGGTCGCAAACGGTCCCCCACTCTCCACCGCGCTGCACCTCCACTCGGCCTTCACCCGTCATCGCCCCGCCCTTCAAGCGCACCATCGGGACCTGCAAACGACAAACATCTCCTGTGTGGCACTCAACAAACCGTTGGACCAAGGGCTCTGAGCGAGCACCTGCCAAGGTTGGTGCGACGCACAACGGCGTGGTGTGGCCAGAACCACGCCCGACCACCTTTGTCTCCCCATCGCTGACGTTTATACACAGCACTAGTTGATGATTTCAGGAATTTAAGGCTGAGTCTGAATAGGGAAGGCCCGGGACCTATTTCGATATCTCTTCCCACTGATGTTAGCCATGGTAGGGAATCCAAGCCACTTACATTTAGGTGGCCGGGTGGCTCAGAGGTCAACAGCACTGAACCGGCACTGATCCTGGATTCAAATCCAGGCAGTTTCCTGTAATTAATCTGGATCATCAAGTGCAGCGAGTTGATGGCCTCAGCCCGTCACTAATGACTGCACGAAGGAACAAATCCCATCCCGTGATACCCTGCACTTAATTTGTATAAATCCCAGCTCTGAGAGTTCAACATTTCTGTCAAGTGACAGACAGTGCTCTCTCGCGGCAGAGCAAGTGGAGACGTGCCGCCACCTCAGAGGCAGCTCAGTGATATCCACTTCTGTCAGCTCTTCTCGAACACAAAAGGCGGTGCAACTGCTCTGTGAGCAATCTTAATTGTTTAATTATGTCTCCTGTCACGACGTCGAAAGCACCATCGGGATAACATCTGAAGAAACAAACAAGTTTGAACACAAATTCCTTGACATCTGTGGGAGGGCAGCAGGTCTGCCCCTTTGCGCACCTCCGCCTTGAAGATCTTCTTGAAGGCGACACCGGGCGAGAAGGCAGGGCCTGGCACGCAGCTCACGATGGCCGGCATCCCAGCAAGGCAGCTGTTGTGGGCCTTGGCGCCCAGCGGTAGGAGGTCGTGTTGGCACGCGGTGATGTGCGACTCGGTGCCCGTGCAGTTGAGGGAGTGCACTAGGAAACTCGGCCTCTCCTGCTGCCGCTCAGAGAAATGCCTGCAGTCGGGACGGGCGCGCGTGCGCGAGCGCGAGGAGAGAAAAAATAAAAAATAAAAATCTAAATCAGACAATGCTCTGTGAAATGTTCTTATATAAAAACCGCTGTGACTTTGTGCCATTACTTAAACGGTCTATTCATTCCCTTGGGATGAACACAAAAATTGCCTTGTGAAGAGTGCTGTATTTCCTCTGAGCGTGTGTGAGTAAGCGAGTGTATATTCAGGGAAGCCAAGCGATTCACTCATTTCAGTGACAATGCTTAAAATCGTGTAATTTAACAGGGTGGCAATAAGATTAGGAGCATATTACAGAGACAAAATCGCCATAAGCAAAGATCAGCATAGCTAGTGTTAAGCAACCGATAGCACAATTGTCTAGGGATGGCTGAATTATTTACTCAAACGCCTGTAAGGGCAGGAATGAAGTGCTGATGGCACATGAGCAGAATTTTTTAAGCTGTATACATATATATAAATCACCAAGCAGGCAGAGAAAGTATGCAGTGACATTTGGATGACCTGGCAATCTAGAATCAATCACACCCCCGCACATTGCCTCTCTCTCTCTCTCTCGTGGGGCTGATATAGAGATGCAAAGGCTTCACTCTGGTGTCAAATGCTTCCTTTTATGTACACATTCTACTGAAGCCTCGCTAAATGACCACGTCCCATTGCCATAGGCTCTTGCTTCAACACTGCCTGATATACTGGAGCCAATGATCGTGGGTCAATTTAAACGGCAATTGCTCTTTGACGAGCATGATGGGGTGCCACTTAGGGGAACGTGGACATTATCGGTTCGATTATTGTACAACTGCATTTGCTAGAATGCGAAATCATTGCAATTAAACCACGTTCATCACTCGTTTAAATGCCTAATTTTCTCAAACGGACCATATTGTAAATAGCTATTAAAACGAACAATTGGTGGCTCGATCGAGCATGATCAATTGCCGATCATCTCCTATTTCGAACCCCGAGCCAGTGGTAGAAATTCCACATTCCTAAGGTGGGGATGAATATTCCAAAGGGCCACCGTGGTTGATTTCCCCAAAGAGTATTACATCATTTTATCCAACCGTCGTGACATCTTAACCTTGAATACCAAACATGTGTTTGGGTCATGTTAATTAGACCTCACAAGAGCTCTGATATGCCTGACTGTACACCCTGCATACCACAACTCCGAGGCTGCAAGTAGCTGCGAAGATAGCATCCATAAATGTTAGGTCAGTTTCTGCATAAATCACGTGTAAAATTTGACATTTTCAGGCCACCATCTGTGATGCCAAGACTCCACGTTCCAACATCACGTCTGATTTATGCACTGAATTATTGTGACTTTATTGCTGCGATTGGCAAGATGTAACATTTTCGTCTAAAAGCAAAGCTGGTTTGGCAAAGCTTCCAACAAGCAGCCTGGGCGGCTCTACCTCTTCTCCTTTGGGTTGACCTCGTTGGTCAAATTCAAGTTTGTCTCAGCCTGAAAGAGATCGCTGGAGAGACAAGGGTAGAACAGTGAAGCTCCCTGTTGTCACGTGTCAACCGCATGTTGCGTCTCAACAGGTTAGCTGTGTACAAGATATTGCGCTGGATTGAAACTCATATTGCCGATGGTATCATCTATACCAACTGTATCATCATCTGACCACCGCCACCACCGCCATCATCAATCATTTATTCTTTCGCCACAGTGGAGCAGTGGCACAGTTGTTCGTGCAATGCGCTATGAACTCCATCTCACGAGTTCAATTCCTATCTGACGCAAGGCCCAAAACCCCCTTCACCAACCCACACTGTCACTCGTGTCGTAACGTCTTGTCAAATAAACCCCGTGACCGAAAGCGTAGGGGAGCCTTTGTCCTGCATTTGATTAACAAACGGACGAAAGCTATTAATTCGAATTTATTCCTCAGTCGAAACTGATTCCGTATCGAGTATCGAGTGCTGCTTTGCCGAAATCATCTTGTGATTAAGCACTTTGCTCTTCAGCACTTTTTACGAAAAGCTAATCATGCTATCACCGTCCTGTGATTAGCACGGTTGGCTACGTATGGTGCAAAAGAAGTTCAACATACATACATACATACGCAGTTCACACGAGACCCATGAAAACACAAAAACAGGAAGGCTTCTGTGCATTTTTGCACACACGTGTGCGTCATTTCAAACTGTTTCCATCGGGCACCGAGCAGTAAGCAGCAGGTCTTGGTTTGCTGTTTGTTTTCATAATGTAGCTTTATCTTTGAAGTGCGGTCAGTCGTTGGTGTATACTTAAGAGTGCCCCTAAGCACTGCCGTATTACACCGTGACATTGTGAAAGATGGTGGTGACTTGGGGAGGACTTCAACCAGCTGTGGATTGTTCACGACTTCTAGATTTGAAGCTTTCGTGACTGTAAGGATTCATATTCTTAGGTTTTTTCGGTAAAGTACCGCAAAAACCTAAGAATATTTGTTCACGACTGCTAATGACGACTTGTCAAGTAATACAAGTTTTAAAAGACAAATTATAACTCTGAATTTCGGTCATATGTAAAAAATTAAGCGATTGGCAACGGCAAGCCGATGCCCTATTGTGTGGTGGCGGGGAATTTGCCAGAGAAATAAGAGATCATTTCTCCCGAGTGGATAACTTTTGTTCCCACGGTATTTATTGTTTTTGGGTCACACTGGGAGTTGTGGTGGCTTCCTCTCTGCCTGTAAGAACTCGAAATGAGGTTGTTTGTCTCAGCGATACGATGTAATAGGTAAAAGTAAAGATATATAAAGTGTCGCATATACGGGGTTTGGAATTCAAAATTTTTTTTTAATATGGGTAGTTTATTGATTTAAAATATTTTTTTGAAAATTGGGGGGAAATTGTAAAAAGTCATTTTGATAAAACTAATCATACTAATGAATGGGATCAAAATGTACATATCCTTTACATGCTGTTAAATAATTGCAACTATGCTGCAGTGAATGAGTTTTAAGTCGAAATAAATTACCTGTGATCTATTAGATATAATTACAGTCAAAATCAGGAGACGACTGTGCAATAACATAAATGTCATGAATCTAATGAAATTGCAATCAGGACGCTACTGTGTAAAGAGCCGCACAAGACGGATTACATCCAATTACAAATTGGCACTTGAAGTACAAAAAAAATTATGCCAGAAGTGGCTCTCTATGGAAAATAGAAAATTCCATAACTAACACGAATGTAGTTATATTTCTCTCGCTTCTTCACGAATTAGCAGCGATAGTCGATATTTTGAAAATCATATTTAAATCAATGAACTTAACAAAATAATAGCAGAATTTTTTTAAAAAGTTGTTCACTATTCAATGAACATTGGAGACTGGTCATCTGTGATAATTCACAGCTGATAACGTGAGTTGTATTTTGCTGTCCATGTCAGGCACAATAATATAGCTATACTAATACATTTCGATTTACAGCTTTCGTGACTGCAGGGAGTCATCTTCTTGGTTCTTTCGGTAAAGTCACGTAGAAGGGAAATAATAAAATAATAAAAATAAAACATAATATAATAATTCTCACGACGTTTCGGCCACAACGCAAGCAGCCGTCCTCAGGTGAAGACCAGCTGCTTGCGTTGTGGCCGAAACGTCGTGAGAATTATTTTATTATTTTTTATTTTTATTATTTTACACTAATACACTTACCGGGTGGAGTGGTGTCACAGTGGTTAGCATGCGACACTATAAACCGGCTAACCAGAGTTCAATTTCTGGCCATCGGTGTCAAGCGACATCAGACACGACCGAGCGCTCCGACACCCACCCACCCCTTCACCAACCGGCGTGAAGTATGGTCATTGAAAAATGCCATGACCAACGTGGCGTGACGAGGCCTTCATCTATTGGTGGATTGAGGATGATTGTGAAGTGTAACGCACCTGCACATCTTTTATACTAGATTAGCATTTGTGCGCTTGGAGGTGCGGTTTAACATGTAACACGGTGGTTGCCTTGGTTTATAAAAGGAACACAAAATGGTCAGTTTCTTTTTTTAGAACAAGCTCTGATAACTTCTATTCAGCAGCACCTGCACGTGATTTAGTTGAACTCGCCGAGCATGTCACGACAACTGCCGATTCTAGAGCGGGTTTCCGCTGGGTAATAATAAATAAATAAAGGGTGGCTGTGTGGAAGACACGGGGCTGCCCTGTGACTGCCTGCACGCCCTCGGCTCTGTCTGGCCAAGCCACAGGCAGCCGTCAAATGACAGCAAACAGGATGGCACGACTTTCTGGAGCATGCCACGCATTCCCCAAGCCACATCCATACCTCTTTTGTCGGGTTTAGTTTCCCTCTCCAAGCCGTAATTGAACATTCCTCGTGACCCACATTTCACCGAGCTTCGAGTTCCGATTTAGACTTCAAAGACGACCATTTTAGGACATTTTCACTCAATTATAGGGAGGTACAGAATATGCAAACGTTCTCCGGCTTAGAGAATTAAATATGTTTGTATGGTTATTTTTCATAAATGAATCAAGTGGCAACAACATAAATAGTTTTTTTCTGCAATTCTGTACTGCTACGTCTGCACCCTCCGCCTTCACTAACCGGCACCGACCAGCGTGGCGTGAAGCACTCCTAAATAACCCCCGCGACCCACACGGCACGGGGAGGCCCTCAATCCAGCGGTGGATTGTCAGCGGCGCTGTGCGTGCAGTCGTATACTCGAGTGGCTGCCCATTCTTCAGCCGATAACAGCTGTGGCCGATCTCCATCACGTCCACCACCCCCCCCGTTACCGACCTGTAGAGCACGCGGTTGACTTTGCGTTCGGCAGGGAATCCCATCATGCCGCAGATGACGCGGCTGTTACGCGGGGTCCAGTTTTCGTCGCACACGTGGCGCCATGAGCCCATGTAGCGGACCTCCACGACGCCCTCCGTCACGGGTAACCGCTTCTTGGCAGCCGGGAGGATGGGGCGGAGGCGCACATCCTCCAAGCGGTTGTCGTGCACGGTCTGCAGACGGGCAGGGTGACATGGGGGAGCTCAGTCGATTCATTCATTCGTTCATAAAAGTCAAAAGTGATTTTTTTGTTCAAATGAGTATCGAGGCTGTTCTCGTGAAACACCGACAGCCCCGAGCCAAATTCAACTTTTCTATGGCAGGGGCGAGCCAATCCAGAGAAAAATTGCTGTTGACTTTCCAGCAAAGTGGTAGTCATCTAATCGAAGCTTGGAGGGATGATTAGCCGAGTCAATCCTCCAGTAGGATTTAAATGCAAGCAGCTCAATCTCCTGCTGAGCCACCTGGTTATTACCTAAATGATAAATATTCGCTTTTGGCTACGTAGGTTTTCACGGTTTTGCTGCATAGGTCACCGATATGTTTTTGGGTTGTACCGCGCATTGTTCGGTCGGAAAGATGTTTCACGAAAGTTTCCCCAGCGCATAGGGTGAAATGTCGGACAGAATGCGAGTATAACCCCTAAAACACATCGGAGACCTTTTGCTTTTGGCAACAAATGCCGTGCTTCATTTCCTGACCCAGCGGCGGTAGCTATCGAGTGTGCAGGCGGTGCAACTGCACCGAGCTCCACGTAAGCGCCGCACTCCATTCCCTGCGCCAGGGTCCGTGCCAACTGCGGTATACTCCCTGTGTTGAAGATTCGTGTTAGATTTTCCTTGACCGGGTTTGGTGACACGTGAACGGGTGTGGTGACACGTGAACGCATCGCGATTGGAATTAAATGAGAAACGAGGGACACTGCACTGGGTCATTTAAAAAGAACAATTCTCTGGAACACAATCAACGAGAGTGCATCGGAGAGCTGTTGATGTTTCCAGGCAGCTCTGAGTTTGGATCAAGCAGTTCGTGGGTTCTTGGCTACACAACCGAGTCTGCTGCCTGCATTCTTCTGCTGTGACACAATGGTTTTTTTTGTGTGACCACGTGACTTCCACCAAAAAAACGGTGATCCACCTTGCCAGTAGCCACAGTAGAAGTGCTAAACTGCACCGGGTCAGGCACGAGTGCGGGTGTGACGCATCCCCTCCACTTCACTGAAAAGAGACAACCTCGTTTACAAAAATGAAATGTAAAAGAAATAATAATGCGAAAAAAATGAAATGTGTGCTGACTGTTATTTTTTAAGGCATGTATGAAGGAATACAGTGCAAGAATAGTCCCAGCAAAATGCATTTTGAATAAATGTTTGCTGGAATCGTGTAGTGGCTTTTAGTTTAATAGTGCAGCAGATGTATTCATCAGAGGTAATGTGTTTGCGAGACAATATTGTTGATGGAAACAAATGATGAAATAACAGAGTAATGAAAGTGAGATTGCTTAGAAGCTTGCCGATGTGTGTGGCACTCGTGAAAGTGACCGAGTAAGGTGGCAGTCGTCTTAAGCGGAGCACTCCAAAATGGTTACATAATATCCCACATTTCCCTGCTGGAAAACAATCTGCAAAAAATCCACACTCAAAATCAAACTCTCCAGGTGTGCAATTTTTTACCCCCTATTTATGCAGAATCTTATAATGGCAGCTGCATATAGATTTACTTTTATTAATTGTAAAGGTGCAGCCCTGCAATTGCTTGCTCAGCAACTGCTGGTGGAAGGGCCTCCGCACGAGATGAGCTCTAGAGGGCACTTTAAGGAGTATTTGGCCGACTGCCATGTGGCCAGATTGCTTTTGAAGACCTCTGAGTACCCACACTTGACCCCACCACATATGACCTGCCGGTCGACCAGCTGATGCGTGAACAGAAGCGAGGGGGTTGGGGGGGGATTTAAGATACCTGGCCATTGTTTCAAGTGAAGTGTGCAAGCCATTATACCATGGTAGCATCCTTACATTGCATTGCGTGGTGCATTATTACTCCTGTATTGATTTACTTTAGAGACATCTAGCGGTAATAAGGCTGCTAGCCCTTTCCCGTTCCGAGATGTCTGCAAGTTGCACGGTGGGTCCCGTTCACTGCTGAATTTTGGAACGCGCAAGCGGTTAGCGTTTATTTTATTTAGAGAGGCGTAGCGCCATTGTTTTTAAAGACATTGCACTCACCGCAGAGAACCATAGCGACACGACCACACTATGATAGCTGGTGCCAAACTGTGCTACACGCCCACCCGCATGGCCTTGTGGGAGCCTCAGTACTGATAGTTATTTTATTTCAGTTTTTCACATACGTCATCAGAAAGGAATCGGAAGAAAAACGGATGATGTACATGTACGACAAAATAATTGGAACGGGTTAATATGCAAGTATGCAATCATTATTTTGTTAGTGTACCTTCAGTCTGGATAGAGACAGCAGAAAATAGCGGAACCTAAATTATTAAGATAAAGTAGTGTTATCAGCACAAAAACTATGCTTTCAAGTGTGGCCCAAAAATTCACATTTTTCGACTGCTGCCAAGCATAGGGTACAGACTAATAATATAATAACCTCAGCTCACCGCATCTAATTACGTACAGATGCCTGCATTATGAAGCAGTGGCATATTCCATGGAATTTTTTGACTCTTACTGGATATGTATTTGTACTGTGGAAAAAATGTATTGCACAAAGCAGCACAAGCAGTAAATCTTAAGACATATTCATCAAAATTGCTTAATCCTAAGAAAAAGGTGTGCATGAGTTTACAAGCTTTGGGAGTCTGGATTGAATTAAGAAGAATGTTGTTTGCTAAATATCTTTATTTCTGTATAAATGCCGCTCTCTCTCTCTCTGGGCCTTCTGGAAAACCATTCATTAAGATGCTGATACGTGCAGTTGTAATGAAAACATTCAGCTGCGTTTTTGTTGTTATATCGCTCTTTGCCTCCTTAAAATATAAAAACATCCATCCGACCGTCACAGCATATTGACTTTTTTTACGACAGGAAACTAAAATCCGACATTACGTAAAGGGAAAAACCCATCGGTTTGTTAAATGATCGTTGGGTAATCCTGGGGGATGTGTGCGAAAGTACAAGCTGCTAAGGGGGTCAAACAACAGCAGTGCTTATGAAGCAGCCCTTTCTAACAAAGTTCTTGCAGTGGCTTGGATAGTCTCGTGGGACGGTCTTTTCCGCCCATTCATCAAGTCTCTGGGAGGTTGGGCAGTGGCCTGGGGCCAGTGGCTGCACTCTCACCACCTCCGTGTAGATTTATCCTCGCCGAGAAACTGCTCACCGTGACGGGCAATGCCGCAAGGGTCAGGTTTGGGGGCGATCTCGATAGGATGACACAAAAAGGGGGGCACGATCTGATAATGGGAGTTCACTTCTCACTGAATCGCTCAGAGTGAGTGGATGGCAACAGGACATGTAGCCCACATTCCTCCGTTTCATGGTGCAAGGGGAGGCCAAAGCGATTTGAGAGTACAATGTTAAAAGTGTGTACATGCAAGATGCCCAGGTTTTAAGGATGTTTACGCTACACAGTAGTTGTCTTTATATTAGACCTGTACCCCCCCCCCCCTCCGGCACACGTGATTCAGAACTGCTTTCTACACAGGTGTGAAATCCACAGAAAGAAAATTAGAAACATTTTGAATTTGTTTTAATTTCTGTGGATTTCACACCTGATGTTGATTGCTTGTGTTGCAATCGAAACGTCGTGAGAATTTTTATTGTTTTATATTATTTTATTATTATTATTTCCCTTCTACGTGACTTTACCGAAAGAACCAAGAATTTCGATTTAAAGCTTTCGTGACTGCAGGGATTCATCTTCTTGGTTCTTTCGGTAAAGTTACGTATTTTCCCTTCTATGTGACTTTACCGAAAGAACCAAGAAGAACCAAGAATATTAACATTAGGTAACTGGGTATACACGACACTATATAATGACTACTATATAGTGAGCCGATGAATTCTCATTCACAAGGCGCAGGCTATGGAAGGCAACAAAACTATCCATATTTCGTGACATTTTTTACAAGTCAAGTGTTGTAAAATAGTGCCGCGCTTTCCAATTTTTGTCACCTACACTTCCTGTAGACACCTCATTGTGGCACACTGCCAAGTAATTTCAACTTTTTGTTTGTTATATATATAAAAAAAAGACATCAACAATTTGCGTCATGATTGCAACAAGCGAATAAGACAGCGCATTTGACCACTCGTCTCAATTTAAAGGCGCACGCACACATACGGTGTCAAAAATAGAAGACTTACGTCAAAGGTAATATCGCCACCGAGAGAGAACGAGTTATGGAGACCTGCTCTCAAATTAAATTGCACGGCGGACAGCTCTGGACAACAGCGAGCGGGTCACAGTGTGCTGACAATGTCGTCGAACGTGACAAAAGGCACACACGTTGATGGGACACCTGGACAGGAAATGATAGAGAAAGAGTCCAAAGCCTCATCTGAACTCCCACGATGGAAAATAAAATTGACCGTACAGTACAGAATGCCCTCGTTATTCGCGAGGGATACGTGCCAGAGATATTTGTGAATGGCACATTTCACGGATAATGATACTGGCCTACGGAAACATGTTTTAAATGAATTGCCTTAAATAAATACTTAAATAAGCTATTACATACATGAACATGATCATAACAACACGTATTTATATCATCACTTTATCTCATTCCTCTCTCCCATCACTTTGTCTCTCATCAATTGATCTCACCACTTTTTCTCTTTTCACTGAAACTCATCAATTTATCGCGTAACATTCTCTCGCATCACTTTCTCTCTCTCTCGATGCAGTCATGTAGAGTTCCAGATGCCATTCGCGTATAGAAAGTTCGTGAATAACGAGGGAATACTGAAGTTGCAAATGTCCTTGAAACCACATTGTGGTTATTATTCATGCTATCTTTTCCACCTAAACCAATAGGCTAACTACTCAAGCTCACAATACACGCATCACATATTGTGGATAGGAATGGACATTTCTAGATTCGTATATGTCGTGCGTAATAGGTTCACGTGACTGCTGGTGCCGCAAGGAGCTGCTCCTACAATCGCCACAAAGTATATACAAAAGGGTATAATTTCACCTACTGAACACAG